CCGCCCCCGCGCCTGGGCAAGGCCCAGCCACGCGAAGCCCCCTTGGCTTCCAGGACTTGAGGGGGACTGGGAAGCAATGCAGCTGGCAACCATTGCCTTACAGGACCCCCTTCTGGGAGCGGTAAGGCCTGGGGGAAGCAGAGGAGAACGCCGCTCATGAAACACTGTTCCCCAAAGATATGCTCTTCTGTGGTGGACTCTCAACAAGTGTAACAGCTGCGATGCTCACCCTGTTTCCCAGGACAGAGGGAGCAGTCTGGCTAGAGCAGAGATGGCAGTACAGAGACACGGCCCATCTGGCAACGAAGAAAAGGACCAAGTAACTATCTGCACCCCACGAGGGGTTCTCTGTGCACCTCATCCCCACTCTCCAGCGTGGCTTCCCCATGGTCGGCTGCACCCCGTGTGTGGTGACTTTGCAGGCCGGAGTTGGGAGGAACCTCACACATACACCCACAACTTCTGTGACACACAATCAGCTCAGACAGGAGGATGGAGCAACATTTACAAACCAACCGACGAAATGAAGAAATATATAAATAGATATATAAATATAACTGTGTTTTTATGCTTTGTCATGAAGGTCTGTAAAAAGGAAAAAAAAAAAGAACAAATCCCCAATTTTCTAAAAAACCCAAGCAAACAAAACCACAAAAAAACCAAAATAATAATTAAAAAACCCTACAAAAATAAAACTCCAAGTCCCATCCCTCCCCGCCACCTGAATGGCAGACGAGTTCCTCTGATGTTTGATGCTCCTCTTTCACTCTAGGGTTTTGTTTCCTTTCTGTTTTGCACTACAATGGGATGGTGGTATTGGAGAGGATTGGATGCCAGCTCCACCCCGTCGCCTCCTCCTCCTCCCCCTTTCCCAAATCCTGTCTCTGGGGAGCAGTGTGGACAAGTCACATCTGACAAAGTTACCAAACACATCAGTCGACAAAAAAGCACTCTGAGTCAACAAACGTTTTCCATGTCACTGGTTGGCAAACAAAGAAAACAAGCCCAGCTGCGCTCTAACTGCGCTGTGTGGTGGAAAGGAAAGTGTGGGGCTTCACGTGGGCCCATCTGATTGCCCTCTGGACAGCTGAGACTGAGACGGACAAATTCAGGATTGGCTGGGATTATTGCTTGGTTCCCTAGCCCTTAGCCGCCGCTCCTTTTACCTTAACCCCTGTACCCGTGACGACTTCAGTTCACCCACATCCCAACTTTCACAATTTTAGATATGCCCAACACCCGTTCTCCAGATCCCCACAGCCGGTGACAACAAGCCTCATTATCTGTGCCCAACACGTAATTTCCTCACAACTACAGCCTTGCTATATGGGCCCCCTTCGATTCCCAGTCCATCTGCTCATACACCTACTAATTTATAGGCCTCCATTCAAATCCATATGCCTGCATCCTACCAGCCAGTCCCAACATACAGCCCCATTCATCTTCAACTCTATATTGTGTACCCTAATATTTACCCCTTACCCCAAACGCTCACCTGATGACTCTGTAGGGATTCGCTGTTCTTTTTGGTTCCCAAGTGACTGGCAAACACTGTTCTGCAAAAGGCTAACTGTCAATAGAAATGCTTATTACTCCTGAATTGTCAGCAAACTCATAAACTGTTCCTTGCACTGACACTTCCTAAAAAATACTCAAAGAAAACATGAAGGCAGCTAAAGCCTGTCCCCAGGGCATCAAGTCTGCCAAAGTAGATCCTTGTTGTTTTAGAGAGGTTTCAGATAAAACTTGTGGGCTACTGTCCATGGACAAAGACAGGATTGAGAATCAAACTCCCAAAGGGCATAAAAGTGAACAGCGGAGCAATCTGTACAGCCAACATTATGTATAAAATCCAAAGTTCCCAGCCTCAGAGGAGATGTGGTTGTGGACTCGGTATTCTGTCTCCAAGTTTAACTTGTATGTATGAAATCCATCATCGGTAAACAGCTGTGTTGATCCCAAAGGCCCCTTTCACCTAACACTTTTAGCCCTTGCATGGCTCTAGCTGATTATAGGTCTGTGTCTTTAACGGGATGCCCAAATGGTAAGGGTATTTGGGGGGGATGTTTACATTGAAGATATAGAGCTAAAATCTGTTCCTGTACAGAATAAAATCAAAGAGGTTACTCCTGATCTATTAAAAGTGTTATTCTGCACGTCTTACCTCTGAGTAATCTGCTGCGAATAGCAGAGTTGTTACACTGTCACCAAGACCAGAATTAGGCCTGTTATCTCATCTTATTCTATATGAGAGAAAAATTCTGAGTAATTTCTAAAAATTTACTTTCACCACTCCTTTTGTTTTCCTCCACAGACACCAGATAGATGCTGGACCCCGTTAGTAAAGTCTCCCTTTTAGTCTCTGAGTACAGCCTTTGCTCTACTTGTGCACCACCCAGTTTCACTCAGCAGGTGGTTGGGGCAGAGGCAGTAAATCCCAGGCCCAGCAAGGAGAACCTCCTGGGGAGGCTAGAGAAAAGGAGACTCTCACATCTCACACTTGGCAACCTGCAGTCCAGCGGCCACCTCCAGAGAAGCTAGCAGCTCAGAAATGCTTATTTTTTATAATGGTGTTTCGCTACGCCTGAGACACGAGCTAGGGTATGAAAGCAGGATTTGGTTGGCTCACTCATGGCTGGCTTGATATGACCCTCGGACGGCCAAATCCATTGTTAGTGTAACTCCACCAATAAAAGAGGATTTCCACCAGGCATTGGATTGGTCTGGAAAGTTCCTAAGTACGGCATGTAGTTTGACCAGGAAAATTAAAAGGAAAGCAGAATTATGCGAAAGACTGGGCAGTCTAATCCTCTTCCACCACCATCTGTAGACCCCCATGCGAATGTACTGAATTACATTTGCCAAAGAGTTTCTTGTGTTGGTTGTTTTGATTTACAGTTGGTGGATGCATTGTAAAGCAGTATTATAGCTAAAGTCTAGTAGCTGACACGGGGATTTATGTGGTGATATTATGCAGAAGAAAACCATCAATATTCATATAGATTCCATTAGACTGGACTATGCAGGAAACGCAAAAATTCTACCAATTATTTAATATTATGTTATTTGCAAAAACAATTGCTGCTTTGTAGGAAGATAATGTGTGTAATGTGAAGGCAATTCCTCTTGTATATAAGTTCATCTCCATCTTCATCATGGTAGTTATTAAAACAGCCTCGTCTCATCCTGTAGATAAGGAACACGCTGTCTGTACTGTGCAAGTCTCATTGTGCTCACTGAAAACAAAACAATGTGTTCAATAAAGCACAGCACAAATCCAGAACCTGAGGGAACAGCCAAATCTTGGAAGGACCCCTTCCCCAACAGGCCAACAGTTGCTTTGTTATAGGTGGATTTTTTTTTTTTCTTTAAAAAGTTTTACAGGAAAAAATGAAAAAGAATTGGAGGAAGAAATCACTATGCAAAATCCAGTGAAGTCTATGACTCACATCTCTCTCCTCCCTTCTGCTGTCTCTTCCCTTTCTCCCATTTCTTTCTCACTCCCTCTTTCCATTTAATTTCTATCCCTCGCTTTTATTATTCTTCATTCCCAGTGCACTTTTCTGTCCAGAGAGGGAACAGCATTACTGATACGAGAGCAGGTATCTGGGACCTCAAACTCCCCAGTTCTCCTTGTGGCTCGAGAGAAGCTTTGTCAAGTCCAGTTTCCCCGCTATGCCTCAATTCCAATCTTCTGTAAAATGGGGAAAACAATAGTTCCTAGTTCACAGGGGGATTGTGCAGCTGAATTAATTAGCACTGGCTCAGTGCTTTGAGATCCTGGAAAGAAAATTCTACCAAAGTGTTGTGTTATTCTGAATAATAAT